TTTATACATATTGTATATCTGTAGGCTTGGTTTCCGGGACATCCCTTCTCTCCATGCCTTGTCCTGCGTTTCCCGGACTTTTAGTTTCACTTCCTTGTAAAATTTACTTAGAAGTGGACGTCCTTCGTTAGTGTATACCACGGGTATTTCCCCATCAAGGTATTTTTTACGTAGGATCTTCAAGCGTTTGACTGCCTCGGTGTATGTGTCGGTCAGTGCCATCATTGACAGGATCGCTCTCGGCCATCTATGTGCCTCCATTGAACTTATCCTAGTGAAATATCGGATCCTGCTCTGAGCTTCTCTTGCCTCGAATGATGACCAGCCTATTTCTCCTTGGATGAACTCGTTGGCTACCTTGTATCCCGTAATACCCAGAGCCCATCGACCCGCAGACATCTGCGTCTTTTCGAAGTGAGCATTCAGCGCTCTTTGGTTCCTCGAGGCTAGTACCGCATTGGCGTATGTCAGCGTCGGGACCGCTGTGGCTTTCCATTGGATCTTGGAAACTTCGAATTTATCGAACGTCCATAGGCATTGTGCGTGCATTCTTTGCAACGCCACTTCCGCCTTTTTTCTCAGAAATAGCTCATGTTCATGGAGATAGTTAGGCTTGTCGGACAGAGTTATTCCGAGGTACTTATATTGATCTTGTCTCTCGATCTCTTTCTGTTGTATAAACATAGGAGTCGGTTGTCCCAGATTCTCATCATTGAACACCACAATGGCGCTCTTCGTGGGGTTGAAATTGAGTTGTACTTCTGTACCAAACTCGGATACCACATTTAGGAGAATTTCCATTTCCTCATAGCTTTCGGCCATTAGGAGTAAGTCATCGGCGTATAGTAGCCCAGGGATCTTTATCGACTGTACCGGATTGGTATTCGTTATCACCTCGAAACCACATCTCGTCCATAGGATTCTTGATTCTAGTTCGGCAATATATAGGGAGAATAGGACGGGGGAGAGGGGACACCCCTGTCTCAGACCTATATTAGTTGACATCCTTTCGGACTCGACGGTGCCAACTTTTATAACGATCTGATTATCCGTGTATATTATCTTGAGTAGTTCTACCCAATTCGAATCCATGCCAAGGTCTGATAGTCTTTCCCACAGAAGTTCTCTCCTAATTTTATCATAGGCTTTCGTACAGTCAAGGAAGCAGCAAATTAGTCCTTTCGACTGTCGCCTTGCGAGTTCGATTGCTGAGGTTATAATGAACAGATTGTCCTCTCCCCTCCTGCCTGGTCTGAAACCATTTTGCACCTCGCCCAGCACTTCTTCGTCTTCAATCCAGTCATTCATACGTTTGACAATGATTTTCATGAAGATTCGGTACATAACTGATGAGACCGTTATCGGCCTGTATGTAGTGAGCTCTCCCTTGGTTGAGTTCGGTTTCTCTATCATCGAGACTCTCCCGATTCTCCAGTCTGACGGAATCTGCTCGGCCCCTCTGAATAGGTCATTGAACATCCGACACATCTGGTTTATTCCAAGTTCTGAGAGCTCTTTCAATACCGAAGCCGGTATATTATCCTCTCCGGTAGCGGTTTTGACAGAGATCTGCCCGAGGATTCTCATAACTTCGGTTTCGTCTGTTGCGATATTTGTCGGGGTGGCCCTCTCTACGGGTGGCAACGTACCCGTTCGCGGTCGTGGTTCTGCATCCAGAGTCAGGGATCCTACCTTTGTCAGGTATCGACTCAAGTTCTCTTGGGTTACCGTTTCACCGCTCGTATCAATTACTTCTTATCTTTGCTATGCTGTACGCTACGGATCCCGTCGATGAAGTTCAATATGCCAGGATGTTCGACGCGGATTGGCGTTGGAGACTTCTATGAGCTGCCTCCGCGTAATTGTTGGTGCGACTGTCCCCTCGCAGTGTGCGCTCATAAACCGTCCACAGAGAGACTGGAAACAAAGGGTCCCGCCGTGCCAGAAAACCGTCGTTGTGAACTCGAAGACGACCAATGTACGTGTCTTCGAAGTAGTCCAGGACTGGTTGCAACTGATCTGGCAATTCGTTCCGGAGCTCTCTGAGAGCGTCCTCGAGCCTTTCCGGAGGAACGAATGCGAGTGCGGAGATCATTTTGGCCTTCAGTTCGAAGTCCGACACGTTGCGATACCGTTTGCTCAGCCCGTTAGCCGCAACTTGTTTTTTCATGTTTTTTACGAGGTGGAAAAAACAGCCTTGGAGCAGAGCGTCGGGGATATGGGAACTGAAGGCATTCATCAGGGTCTTCTCATAATCCATCGATATGCTTGTTGGATTGAATGTAGGCCACTCGAGCGAGAGCAGGTCGATCATCTGGAATCAAAGATCGGAAGCCGGGTTGTTGTGTTGAACATTCGTAGCGCGCTTTCCAGAAACAGCGTCAACGAGCTGTCAGTCAATAAATGATCGATCATTCCCGTTCGGACGGTCTTGAAAGGAACAGCGTGTCATCACTGAAACTAGGTGTGAACCGTAACACGGGTAATACTCGGAATATAATTCCGGTCAAGGCCCTCGACTCAGTTGTGGCGCTCGGCGAGGATGGCGAATACTTGAGAGGACTGATTCGGGGCTAAACTAAATGTCCCATCACAGTAAATCTTTGAAACTCCACCGATCCACGAGCCCGTGCTCTCTCTGCCGAAGAGAAAGCTTCGATTAAGATCGTCAGACCCGGAATCTCCGAGCACGAATCGTTCCCCGACTCCCGGAGTACTTTCGTATACACCATATTCTTCAGGAATGACAATATCCCGACGATCCGTGTAGTGCATCGAAGGTATTCTGGTTCGTTACTCTCTGCTTACACTCTGAATTGTTCTCTATAACGATCGATTCGACTCGAGGCCTCCATTGACCGCCAGTGAGTAACTCGCGCGAATTCTGTTGAGTATCTGTTGCGGTGCCTCTTGAGTATCAACTGCTCGGCGCTTCATCGCCGCTTGCTTCTGTAGTACTTCAATGGCCGCAGAGCTCGGCAGGTCGGTATGATTTCCTCTCACAGTGACCTCCCCTGTCACGACAGATGTATGGACTCGGGCTAAGCATTTTTGACTTTTGCTTCCCTTGTGCTGACAACGCCAGAACTCTGTCGATAGATCTTTACTCATCTGAGCAGAAACGTATAGATGGCCATCTTGGGCTAACTTGTGTTTTCCGCGTTAACTTCCAACGGTGGCTTCCATTTTCGTCGCGTGGAGTCGTAGTGGCCGAGTTGTCGTGGTGGCCGAGTTGTCGTAGTGGCCGAGTAGTCGTAGAGGCCGAGTTGCCCCCACGGCCGAGATGTCGCGGTCCGCACGCGCATAAAGCAGCTCGGTCTGCCCTTCGAAAAGTCGTGAGCGTGGACACCATGGCTCTTCGGACGAGGAGGAAGGGATTCTCCTTGAAGGAGAAACTTGAAGTCCTCGAAGAATTACGCCCCGGCGTGAGGAAGGTGGACGTGGCCCGGAGATTCGGCATCAGCAAATCAACGCTTTCTACCTTCCCTAAGAATCGTCAGAGACTCGAAGAAGAAGGAGTCGAGTTCGACCCTGAGAGAAAAAGATTGAGGACAGCCAAATACGAGAGAGTCGACAAAGCCACGTTTCTGTGCCTTCAAGGGATGCGTTCAAACAACGTCCCCGTTTCAAGTCCGCTACTCCGCGAGAGAGCTGTATTGTTGGCGAGATCCCTCGGTCATCCAGACTTTCTAGCCAGCGAGGGCTGGCTGGCGCGTTTCAAGGAAAGATATGGAATTCGCGCCAAAGTTCTGTGCGGAGAGTCAAGTGATGCCCCCATCGAAAAAGCGAATGAATCGAAGGACAGGTTTATAAGAGAAGTTATGTATAGCTGCTTACTCTCCAGATGATGTGTTCAACGCTGATGAAGCGGGTTTGTTCCACCAGTTGTTACCGGAGCGAACGCTGACGATGAAAGGCGACGCTTGCGAAGGGGGTAAAAGTCGAAGCTTCGATTGACGACTTTGATTGTTGTCACGCCAGCGGCACAGAGGAACGGAGGATTTCAATCGTCGGGAAGTCTGCGAAACCCCGATGTTTGAGAGCGCAACGCGTGGATGACGCGAGATCTCTTCACCGAGTGGTTGATCAGGTTCGACAAAGACATGCGCTTGCAGAAAAGGAGCGTTCTACTCTTGATCGATGATTGCTCAGCGCACATGAGTTTGCCGCGCATGTCGAATATACGCGTCGAAAACTTTCCCCCTAATTGCACCTCGGTGCTTCAACCCTTAGACTTGGGGATAATAAGGGCCGTGAAAGCTAACTATAGGAAAGACTTGGTTCGGCGTATACTGGTAAACTTGGAAGTCGGCTCCATGTCGAAGCTTGACGTGAAAGCGGCCATGGATATGATAGCTCACGCTTGGTCAGACGTCGAGTCGGAAACAATCCGGAAATGTTGGAAAAACAGCGGCCTGCTTGGTCTCTGCGCCGCTCCAGACGAAGACACTCGTGAAGACTCGACCGATCTTTCTGGATTCTGGGATTACGAAATGCAAGGCATGAGTCTACCGGATGGATTTTCCCTCGAAGGCTACATAACCGTGGATGACGACCTCCAAACGTGCGAGGTTTCGACCGAGTCGTCGATTCTCAGAGAGGTTTCGAAAACCGGGATGTCCGAGTCTCTTGATGACAGTGACAGTTCGGGCGCGGAAGATGAGGTCGTTGAAGAGCGCGAACCACCGTCTGTGATTTCAACGTTGAACGCTCTCGAGGTCGTCAAACGTTTCTTGGCGAGTCGGGATGATGTACCAGACAATGTTTTGACCTATAAGCTCAGCCTCGAGGCTTACGTTGTAGCGAGTCAGGCGAGGAACAAGATTCAAACGAAGATGACGGAGTTCTTGACGTGATTGTGTCCACAACAAGCTCTTGACTCGATATCGAAGAAATGACAGCGTTTCTTCAAGTTTGCAACGTCAAAATTGTCATTTCTGAGTCACTCGCATTTTTGCGAACATTCAGTATAACGTACGAAAATCGCTGGCACCAGCGTGTTCGTTGTAACGAGGTTTGACTGGTTCCGAAAACGAGAAGAAACCTGATTTCGATGGCATGCCCAATGACAGGCTGGATTATCCTAGGGCCTGGAACTTCAGACAAAATGCCATAGATGCCTGATTTTGCCATTTTCGACTTCTTCGCCAAATTTGGCCTTTTCCGCATTTCGCCCCGCCATTTTGCCTTTTTAACCCCAACTTCAGGCTCCGGGTAGATGATATCCGGCGCTAGAAGCATTCTCAGGGCTCGAGAGAGCCCGTCTCATTGATTGGGATGTCTGCGTCGTGCCGCGATTCCCCTTCGAGTGACGTGCCGAGTGAACACCTCTTGTTTTCAGCTGTGCGCTCGATAGTGGTTGTATCGAGAAGATTCAAGTGTACGGATTCCCTGCTCTGAAGATCCTTCCTTTTCGAATTGTTGTTCTCTCTTAAGATAAAGTTTCGATGCCGAAACAGAAGTTGTGTTCGAGAGGGAAGGATGAACTCTGTGTGATAGAGTTCGGAGCAGAACTTTTCATGACCGATGGAATCGTGCTCACCTGCGGGGTGTGTGAGAAAGGGGTGATCACAGAAATGGAATATTTTGTGCAGCAGCACACTAATTCTGTGATGCATCAAGAACGCATGAGAAGACCCTCAAACGGAGATCAAAATCTGTGTCTCCTGAAGAACTTCCTGGATTTGTCGGAGGAGGAAAGCCATTTCAATATAGATCTATGTCAGACCATTCCCTTCTTCAAGCTGCAGAATCTGTCCTCTCGGAGTTTTCTACAGAAGTACTGCAAGAATGAAATTCCCGATCACACAACGCTGCGCAAAAACTACCTCAAGGAACTGTATGACGCTGCGCTCCAACGAATTCGCGGAGTGGTAGGTGACAACCGAATTCGCGTGTCAGTGGACGAGAAAACGGATGCAAAAGGGCAGTACGTTGTCAAAACGATAATTGGCTGTTTGAATCCCGGGGAACCTTCGGAAGCAGTTCTCATCGTATCAGGAATTGTCGAGCAAACGGACCATGCGACAGTCGCCCAGGCGTTCTTAAACTCTCTGACGTGAGTCTCTTGTGGCCCAAGGGAATCCAACTTGACCGGGTGCTGCTGTTTGTCACCGATGCAGCTCAAAGATGGAAAAGGCTGGTGTCGGACTAAGAGTTGTTTTCCCGAAAATGATCCCACGGGATTCATAGGGTTCGCGAGGAAATCCGGATTCTGTTTCCCGCAGTCGATTGTCTGATCGCGAATGTAAAGAAAGTCGTCCTCAAGGCTCCGTCACGTGTCCGAGCCTTCGTGGTCAAAGCGCCGAATTTGGCGCCCCCGCCTGAGCCGATAGTGACGCGATGGGGGACAGGGTTGTACGCCGCTTTGTATTACGCAAGGAACTCCGATACCGTCAGAAGTGTGGAGGAAAATCTGGATAGCAGCGAGGCCGCTGCCATTCGGGAGTCGAAGGACTTGTTTGAGCGTCCCGGCTTGAGAAGCCAGCTGGCATTCGTAGCCTCGAATTTCGCGAGTGTGCCTGGTGCGATAACGAGCCTTGAGAACTCGAAAAAAATCTCTGAGCTCGATAATCGGATTCTTTGAAGAAGTTGAGGCGAGAATCAACTCAGCTGAGGGTTTCGTCGCCGAGTCCATCCAGGAGAAGTTCAAAAAAGTGAAAGATCAGAACCCCGGCTATGAGGAACTGGTCAAAATAAGGGACGCACTACAAGGCAGGAATACAGACACCGCGATTTCTCATCTTTCGCCGACAGAGATCTCATGCTATAGATATGCGCCTATGGGGAGCGTGGACGTTGAGCGCTCTTTCGCACGATATAAAAATTTGCTATCGGTTCAGAGACATGGTCTCCCCGCCGAGAACGCGAAATACCACATAATAGCCATGTGCAACTTGCATGATCGAGCATAATCAATCCCTTTTTCGATCGTTTTAAGTGCCTTTTCCGAAGATTTTCGATGCCTTTTTGCCTGCCTATTTCCGAGTTTGTAAGTGCCTGAAGTTCCGGGCCCCAAATAATAATGCTCCGCAACCAGGGACATCATCCTCCTCCGACTCAGTGTGGGGCAAATTTTCGCCGTGATTATGATTTTACCGTAATCATACCCATGCGTATGATTATGACCTTAATCATACGCTTGAGTATGATTATGACCGCAATCATAATCACACGTGTGATTTTGATCATAATCATACGAATGCGTGTGATTACGGTGATTCCTGTGATTATGACTATGATTATAATCAAAATCACACGTGTGATTATGATTATAGCCACAATCATACCCAAGCGTATGATTACGGGCATAATCATACGCATGCGTATGATTACGGTAAAATCATAATCATAATCACGGCGAAAATTTGCCCCACACTGCTGCGACTCAACAATCTGTCGCCTGTGGATTCATTTTAGCGAAATCTCAAAAATGGGAGCGCGCGCAAGATCCCGGGATCGACCCGTTTTGTTATCGCAAAGAGCTCTACAGGAATGCTGGACGCCAATTCATAGAAGATCGGTCACCTTCCAAATCGCTGACCATGAGGGCATCAAGTGTCGGCGCCAGAATTTTCCCTTGAGTTCGGCGTGTGCGATGACATCTGTGGTGCACAGCACGGAGTCTCTTCTAGCAATGAATACGGCTTGTATAACTTCACTATGAGTAACTCCGAGGGTGCACGCACTGATCTGATTATATTGGTTTGAGTTAAATTCCGGATGCGGCGAAGTGCGTGAACTTCCGAACCGGGGGGAAGACAACTCGTAGATACTGTTTCGTCCGAGTCGGGGAGCGTGATCACGCCGACGGGTCGAACACGTGATGGATGGTTTTTTTTCACGGTCCTTCGACCGGAGTACTGATGCTGATGATTAGAAGTCGATACGGCTTCCTGTAGCGGTTATCAGCTGCTCTCTTTTAGATTTCACTCCGTCCGTCGCCGACCGCGCATGCGCGAGTCCGTGTACTTTTCTCTTTCAGTGCGCCCGAGACTCGGTACCCTTTTATTGGGATTAGACATATAGTAGAAATAACGACTCATCAGAGTTCCTTATACACATTTTTTCACATCAGAACTAGATGAGTGCGGGGAGGAGTGTCTGACTCCGAATCGCCGCGATCTCGCTCCGGGATCGCCACTGAAAGATATCACTCATACTGGTCGTGAACGTAATGTGGTGTTTTCTTGACTGTACGATTAGTTTCCTATATGCGCAACTAGACCTTGAAGGGTCGTTCGTCACACTCCCCCCCGGAATTTCGGAAGCTCCTTCGGAATTCATGATGTTCCAGACTGAGGCAGAGTGTGTTTGGCGCCACGTGATCCGAATCACATCACTTTCTGGACGTCTCTTTGATCCGTTTCTGTGGAATCCGTTTTGTTGTTCTCTGTGGCCCCCGTGATTTTCCTCGTGTTTGGTGTAAGCTATGTGAGGTGTTTGCCGGACCTATTCGTATCGGGGAAGTAAGAAAGGATTTTGTGCTTGCAATCTCCCGCCAAATGTATAGTTCGGATTCTATTCGAGTGCGGCGTTTTGACCCTGTGGATCGGGGGAGACGATTGGGTACAGTTCCTTTATCGGTCGAACCAGCGTTTGTCCTCGTGCAGTTTTTATCTTGCATGATCGAGCATTCTCCGGTTTAATGTTCTCAGGGAATGCCACGACCCGGCAGAGCGGCCATAGGGCTCGGTTGTTGTTCGTGTCCTCGAGAAGGCAAATGTCTCCGATATGCAAAGGTCGAGCCTCGACGGGGAGTCGGTTGTGTGCTGTCCTCAGAAACTGGAGGTATTCCCCTTGGAAGCGTTTCCAGAATGCATTGAGGATCTTTTGTTGGTATTTCCAGCGCCTGGAGAATATTATCATGTCGGCTTGAGCCGCGGTTTCCGGTCTCAATGCGTGCTGAGGGAAGAGGGAATTTCCGCGATAACCAAACATGAGATCAGCGGGGCTGAGTGCTTCTGGATCGTCTGTATCCGATGGGACTGTGGTTATCGGTCGCCGGTTCACCATGGCTTCAATTCCCGACAGAATGACCTCGAGGTCCCTGAAGTGAGGGACGTTGGTCCCGAGGACCTTTCTGAGCGGTCTCTTCACCGACTGGACTTGACGTTCGAAAAATCCTCCTTCCCAAGGGCTGGCCGGGGGTGTGAAGGACCATTTGATGAATGAGTCGGCGAGCCATTTCCTTATGTCGCCGTTCTTGATATGGGCGTACATGACTTTCAGTTCTTTGGCTGCACGAACGAAAGAAGAACCGTTGTCGCTGATGATGTGTTTCACGCATGGAAATCTATTTACGAATTTTTGTAATGCGCCTAACACTTCTGCTGTTGATAGGTCGATGGTGAGTTCGAGGTGGGTTCCTCTCGAGACTGCACATGTGAAAAGGAGGATGGATCCTTAAGCGATTTTCCCCGAGTCTTTTCGGTACCTTATTGGGCCGCGAAAGTCACAGCCTGTGTGTGTGAAGGGTGCTGAGCGCTCGATTCGAAATGGTGGTAAATTCGCCGTTGGTAATAGCGCTGCGCTCCCGTGAAATATCTTGCATAGCTGGCAGTTCTTGACGGCCCTTCTAGCTAAACGCCTTGCGTGGATAACCAGGAAGTCGTGTCGTAGTAAGTGGAGGATTGCGTTCACACCTCCGGTATGGAAGCATCTATTTTCATGGATATCCTTCAAGATGAGAAGGGATAGGTTGCAATCTGATGGGAGGATTACCGGCTGCTTTTGTTCCGACGAGAGATCGTTCGCCCTGATCAGCCTCGTCTGACATCTGATAAGGCCGTCCTCTCCCATCTTCGGTGTGTATTGGAAGAGTGTGCTCGTCTTCTTAAGGTTTCTGCATTGAGACTTCCTTTCTTCCGAGAAGTATGTTGTCTGAATTAGTTTTGTTAGGCTCAATCTCGCCGAAATCATTTCCGACGGGTCCAGATCGTCGAAGGGTTTCGACGTGGGCTGAGCTGGTGAACTGTTTTCAATTCCTTCCTTCGCTAGTTGGGCTTTCTTTCTCAAGCGTAACATGAGACCCCAGAATCTCACTGCCTTTCTCCATGTTGAGAAAGTCTCTTCGAAGAATATTTTTTCGTGGTTCAGCTTCTTGGGTTTTCAGTGCCATGCATACTGCTACCTCTGGTCTGCGCTCTTCATCCGGAATGTTCGCCTTCGGTGTCAGTGATGCATTTTCCGCAATGATTTTCTTTGTCAGTTCTCTTTCCGGGAGCTTTAACCACTTCGGTCCAGAGAACCATAATTCTTGATAGGTCGGATTTGCTATGTTATATCCTCTTGAGATTATGTCTGCGGGATTTTCGAGGCTCCTCACATAGTTGAAGTGGGCGTGATTTACCAGGGTTTGGATTCGCCTTATTCTATTTGCTACAAAGGGCTTGAACTTTTCCGGGCTCGATCGAATCCAACCGACGACGCTCGAATTGTCTGAATAGAATTGCGTTCGACTCAGTTTGTGGTCGAGGCATGAGGATATAAGTTTGCTTATCTTCGCGCCTATTAAGGCTGCTAAGAGTTCGAGCCGGTGTACTGTCATCGCTTTTATAGGTGCAACTCTAGCTTTCGCTATGACGAAGGAGACATATGGTGCGTCGTTGTTAGGTTCTTCTCTGAGGTACGCAACGCATCCGTAGGCCTTGAGTGAGGCATCGCAGAAGATATGTAACGTCCGGGAAACCGCGTTCGAGCCTAGCATGAGTCTAGGTATGGATAAGTCCTTTGCTGCTTTCAAGGTTTCGGCGAACACGTTGAATTCTGCCGTTTATTTATTTATTTACCAAACAAACCGAACGCAGGCGAAGGCCGCATATATGGTGGAATTGTGAGGAGAGGCATGATGGTGAACACTAGGTTTGAGTCAGATTGGAAGGGCTACGGGCGATCAAGTAGGCTTTAAGTAATCTTTTGAAGGTGGGGTAAGGGTCAGTTTTGCGGAGATCTAGGGGTAAAGCATTCCAGATGGTTGGAATGAGGTATAGCGGCGAGGCTCGTGCGAAATCGGACCGAATAGGGAATAGGGGTAGGGAAAAGTCGAGAGGGCTATGCCGGCGAGCAGAGGTAAGGGGGCGGAAAGGGAGATGGATAGGAGGTGGGAGGCGGCCACGGGAGCCCAGGTAGGCGAGACATATAAGGCGATAATGGTTGAAGTCGGCGAGAGTGAGTAGGGAGAACTTGGCAAAATAGGCGGAGATCGGGGAGCGTTGACGTAGGCCAAGTACAGCTCTGAGAGCGTTCCTCTGGCACATTACAAACGGAGAAAGAGAAGTGGGGGCAGCGGAGCCCCACACCGAGATTCCGTAGATGAGAGTGCTGGTGAATAATATTTTGTAAATTTGAATGAGGAGGGATCGGGGGAAGCCAAGGCGGCGTAGACGATGGAGGCAGAATATGATGGAGTTTAGTTTGCTGCGGACAGCTGTGAGGTGAGCATTCCAGGAGAGGTTGGATTCGAGGATCACACCAAGGCATTTAACCGAGGGGGACCACGAGATTGGGACAGTCTCCCAGACGATGCAAGCGTCAGGGTTGATAGTTCCCGAGTTGCGGTGACGGAAAAGGAGGGCAAAGGTTTCAGAGGTATTGACGTTGAGACGGAGGGTAAGGAAAGGTTGGAGATACGGTCCAGAAAGTCGTTCAAGACGGCAATGTACCGCTTCAACCACGTCTCTACGGATCTTGTACAGAATTGACGTATCGTCGGCGAACGACAATACACGGAGGGAAGGGGACAGAGAGTTGCCATAGATAAGGACCGAGTTGATGTAGATGAGGAAGAGAAACGGGCCTAAAACAGAGCCTTGGGAACGAAACAGAGAGAGAGCACGTAGACGAGACCTGTAGGTAGCGATCAGTCAGGTAAGAGTTGAACCAGAGAACAGAGATGGGATCAAACCCAAGATTAGAGAGCATTCGATGAGAAGGGAAGGATCTAGACAGTCGAATGCCTTAGAGAGGTCAAGGAACACCCCCGCAACGTAGGAGCCCTCGTCGCAGGCGCTCAGGATGAAATGCCGTAATTCACAGAGGGCAGTATCAGTAGAGTAACCCGCTCTGAAGCCAAGCTGGTGACAGGAGAGGATAGACGCTGTAAGATCATGGAGTTGGGCGAGGATGCACTTCTCGAAGACTTTGGAGAGGAAGGGCAAGAGACTGATGGGTCTGTAGTTGGAAGG